AAGCTGTGCAGAAGTGTCTTGAATAACATCTAGTAAAATATTATTTCATAAACGTGTTGAAAAAAATGTTTTCAGAAATAATAAACAGGGGCTAATAATTCAGGGGGGCTAATAATTCTGACTTCAACTGTATGTATATGAAGAGTTGGTTGCAAAACGCGATAAACCCCATTTTTTGACATTTGGATTTTATTATTGTAAATCACTGTTCAGATGTACCTTAATCTATGTGTGAATTTCTGCCCTTAATAACATTTAAGAATGTACATTTTAGGCCGAGTACAACATGTATTTTTTCACAAAACCTAAAATCAATGTTTCTTTTGATATCGAATCCACGTTGATCACCGACGTTGATTCAACATCGTTTTGCTCATCGGGGTAATGTTGAAACGACGTCAGGCAATCCATTCAAATCTAACCTGAAATCGTCACAATTGGTTACTTACCCAACGTTGAATCAATGTTGATTTTCAGTCGATCGAAACAACATTATACAATCCACACATTTCCAACATATAATCAACCTAATTGGTTTGTCTAATGTTTAAATGATGTTGATTTTAGGTCAACTGAAACATCATAGAATCCACAGATTTTCAACATATAATTTATCCAAATGATTTAACGTTTAAATGAATGCTTAAACAACCTTTTCAACATTAAACCAACACATATTACATAATTACAGTTTTTTAAAGGATACATATTTTTTTTAATCTATACATATGACAAAACACACCACAATATGTCATCCTTTTTTATTTATACAAATATACAGCTGTACCCATTCATCAAGAGCATAAATTCATTCAACTCTTCTACACACACAGTACACTTAAACACAGAGAGAACATTTAAATCATAGGCTAAAATAGTGAAAACCAATTACTCAAAAAAATAAAACTGTAGAATATTAAATACATTTGTCTATTTGTGTTCTATTTCAACACGTATTTTTCATTGGAGTAAAAATGTATTTTATTTCAGATGTGCATAATAACAATTTACTATTAGGGTCAAAATACAGGTTTAAATCTCAATGCTTAAGCTGTTTAAATAACAACTTTATTGAATTAATTGAGAAAGATACAATATGCCTTTCTATATTGTATAGAATATATCACAGAAACTAAAATGCAGATGCAACCATATAAAAAATATTCTCGCTGGATTAGCAGGGTCAATAAATAAATTAAACAAAAATAAATTAGTTTTTTAGGTGGTGTAAAACTGCCGGGAAGCCGTTCCTCTACAGTACCACTTTTTACTAGAATTCCATCCCGGATTTTCCAGAAATACAAAGTATTAGTGACCCAGAGACTTGTCTGAGAACAAGCTTGAAATATTACAACCACGGGCTAGAATTGCAAGTTTTAAGTTTTTAAAATTACAATAATTTTTTTCAAAATATCATTGTTTAATGACTAAATGCTATAAATAAAAACAGTGCTGCGACTAAAGAATGTAAATACTGAATAATCCTATGCAATGCACATTATTCTATTATAACGATCACTGTGAACAATAAGCTAAGCGTTTGTTATATATACAAACTACAAATATAAAAAACATTACAATAATTTAAAGCAATGATATTCTATATGTAAAAAAAAAAAAAAAAAAAAAAACTTTAAACGGCGTCTCGTCCGAGCTGAATCTTTGCGGTCACCACACAGGCTCTTTAAAGGGCACCTATGGTAAAAAATCTACTTTTCAAGCTGTTTGGACTAGGGTTGGGCATCTAAGCTATAATGCCGATCCGATACGCATCTTGATACAAAGAATACGATCCGATATATTAGCGATACATTTGTGACATATTGCGATGCAACACGATACGATTCACACCCATATCACGATACAATGCGATAATTCAGCACTAACTAATTAGATCAAGTTTATGAGATGATGTGAAAGAGGATGCTGTGCCATTGAATGAGTTATTATTTATTAACCAAGCAAAACCAAGACTTTTTTTTACAAACTGGCTTTTCTCTCAGAGCCAGAGTGTCAGTTTACAGTAGAGGGCCATTTTAGAACCTATAGCACATATTATTTAAGTATTTTCAAGATAAACAGAATGTATAAGTGCAATATATATTAATATATATATATATATATATATATATATATATATATATATATTTGCACTCTTTCAACATAAAGGTTTAGCATTGCACAACAAGAATTGTGATTTAACTTTTCAACTATGAAAACAGGTTTTACAAAGATATATTTTGCCACTGAATATTCAAAACTTAAGGTGGTGAACTAGCAGTGTTATGCTGCTTTGAAACATCACTGTCACTGTAAACAACAGGCTAATAAAAATATAACAAACCAGCAATCTTGCTGTGAGGTGGTCAAACTACCCACTGTGCCACCGTGACACCCATTATTTTTATCATTATTATTATTAATATTATTATTATTATTATTATAATTAAATAAAAATTAACAGGAGGAGGTGTTTAAAACCACCTAGGGCGGCAGTATAGAGTTAGCGGCGTCCGCAACACCCAGTTATATCCGCGCATAGGGCGGCAGAATAGAGGTCCACGACACCCGCGCGTCCTCAGTTATATCCGCGCATAGGGCGGCAGAAGAGGTCCGCAACACCCGCGCGTCCTCAGTTATATCCGCACATAGGGCGGCAGAATAGAGGTCTGCGACACCCGCGCGTCCTCAGTTATATCCGCGCATAGGGCGGCAGAATAGAGGTCCGCGACACCCGCGCGTCCTCAGTTATATCCGCGCATAGGGCGGCAGAATAGAGGTCCGCGACACGTCACTTCATTTTCATAACCGGTCACTTTCGTTTTCACATTGGGGTTGAGGGCGGCGTGATCATCCTCTGCCTAGAGCGGCAGTTCAGCTTGCTCCGGCCCTGCAGATGAACAATGCAATAACATCCGTTATTGGAAAAAAAAAACTTGCAATGCTTTTCTCACCACTTTTGGAGCTGGTAGCTACAGTTGAAGCAGTGCGAAAGCCGGGGATGCAGAAACACTGGAAAATGCTTTCACAACAACACCGTGGCGCCGCTTCAAGTGAGATTTCAGATTACTTGTACTGCCCGCGTATTTTATAGATGCGCGGTACATTTTGCAAATTGCATCTGTCCTTTCAAGTCGTCCATCCTTAAATCCATAATGTTGCCATACTTTAGATTTAAAACTCAGTGGGGAATAAAATGTTTGTTTTGCTTCTCGCGCTTTCTGAGGGCGCACCACTAGCTTCATCCGCACACCTGATACACTGAGTTGTAGTGTAAGTGTACACATCCGCAAGTCCGTTGCTAAGGCTTACTTTATGTAGGTCGATTAAATTATGCACCAAAAACAGGTTGACAACACTTGTTAATAAATAAAAAATACATTCTCTATTAAAAATATAAGCTGTATCTCGGAAAAACCGATGCATCTCGATTTGCTTCCAAAATTTCATTCATCCTCTGCTGCTCAACCGATGCACTCGCATCGTGCACGCGCATGACCGCGTATCGATACATATCGGTTAATCTTCCCATCCCTAGTTTGGACAGATCTGTGTGTTGGTATAGTGTATAGACCGTCATACTGAGGTGATATGAACACACCCAGTCTTTTTTTTTTTCAATTTAACTACAAAAAAAGGGTCGGCCAATTGGAGCGGTTTTCAAATCGATCGCACCATTACGTAGGTGTGCGATCCCCCCGCCCACCGAATTGATTGACAGCTGCGCGCATTAACATGTTCCGGTAGTCACGTGTATATGTCAACAAGTACAGGCAGACATACGCAGAGCAACCGGGAATAAAAGGTCTGTTCTGTTCGCTAGGATCAGCAATCATCATCAATTGTGATTAAGAGTAAGTTTTACATGTTTAAAGTGTTTTAAAACAGAGTATGTGTGTAATTAATTACAGCGTTTTACTTCAGCTTTACTTCATCAACACAGCCGCGTGTCAGAACAATTATAAAAGAAGACGCTTCAATCCCGGTTTGTGGAAGTTAAATCAGGTTTATTTTGTACATTAGCATAACAGATATCCACACAGTACTTGAGGTTAGCCTTAACTAAGACAAAACCACCCCCTGCTGGAAATCAGTATAAAACAGCATCTTGTAAAAGGTATAATGAAAAATCTGATGGGTATTTTGATCTGAAACTTTATATACACATTCTAGAGACGCAAAAGACTTATATTAAATCTGAAAAAAGGGGTAACCTAGGTGCCCTTTAACCAATATGGTAATTTAAGGCAGAAATGCTCAGTTCTTTACTGTTTTGTAATAAAAAAAATTACAATGTCAGAAAGAAATAAACTGATAGTTAGAAAACGGCAGGGTGTTATTTGTTAGTTTTATTTCAAAGAGTTATACAATTACAAAAATTAAAAACTCTCTGTGTATCTATCCACTGGAACCTTGCAGATGAGTGATTAATCCGCTGATAAATCAGCTGATTTGACTATGTTTTTAAATGCTTTCTCCAAAGCTTGAAACGCTGTCAGTGATGTAATCAGCACACAAGCAGCCAATAGTGTTCAGCTTTTTCTGACGACTCCTCCCTCAAAATTTCATTGGCTGTGGTTTGGTAGCTTGAATGAGCTGATGGGGAATGAGTTGTTGTCAGATCATGTAGTGTGTGAACCCCCCTCTTGTGGATCATTCAGAGTGTTGCGTAGTGTGAACACCACAGAGATTAAAAGACACAAAGTCAAGTCATGTAGTGTGAACGGCACAGCGATCTGCTGATGTTTAAAGTCCTGTAGTGTGAACTAGGCTTAATGCGATTTCGCTGGTCAGAGTTCATCAAGCTTGAACTCTGCAACGCAGTGAACTGCAAAACTTGACGCACAAACTTGCGTTTACAGTCTGACGCATTTGCGTTCATTTGAATGGCAGTCTATTAGGAGAAAGGTCCAGTGTAACTGTGGCTTAGGTGCAAGTGAATGGTTTCTCTCCAGTGTGGATCCTCATGTGTCGGTTAAAGTTTGATGATTCGCTGAAACTCTTCCCACACTGAGTGCATGTGAATGGTTTCTCTCCAGTGTGGGTCCACATGTGGTGATTAAGGGATGATGATTTGCTGAAACTCTTCCCACACTGAGTGCATGTGAAGGGTTTCTCTCCAGTGTGGATCCTCATGTGTTCTTTAAGAGATAATGAGCGACTGAAACTCTTCCCACACTGAGTGCATGAGAATAGTTTCTCTCCAGTGTGGATCCTCATGTGGTGATTAAGGTAAGATGAGCAACTGAAACTCTTCCCACACTGAGTGCACGTGAATGGTTTCTCTCCAGTGTGGATCATCATGTGTAGATTAAGGTTTGATGATTGGCTGAAACTCTTCCCACACTGAGTGCATGTGAAAGGTTTCTCTCCAGTGTGGATCCTCATGTGTTTATTAAGGGATGATGATTGGCTGAAACTCTTCCCACACTGAGTGCATGTGAATGGTTTCTCTCCAGTGTGGATCCTCATGTGTCGGTTAAAGTTTGATGAATGGCTGAAACTTTTCCCACACCGAGTGCATGTGAAAGGTTTCTCTCCAGTGTGGATCCTCATGTGGCGATTAAGGGATGATGATTGGCTGAAACTCTTCCCACACTGAGTGCAGGTGAATGGTTTCTCTCCAGTTCGGATCATCATGTGGTGTTTAAGAAATAATGAGTGGCTGAAACTCTTCCCACACTGAGTGCAGGTGAATGGTTTCTCTCGAGCGTGGATCATCATGTGGTGATTAAGGGATGATGATCGGTTGAAACTCTTCCCACACTGAGTGCATGTAAATGGTTTCTCTCCAGTGTGGATCATCATGTGAATCTTAAGATTGTCTTTTCTTCCCAAATTCCTTCCACATTGAGTGCAGGTGAAACGATTTTCGTCTCTTTTTTTCAAAATATCATCAGTCTGTAAACGAGTTTTTTTCTCAATTTTGACATGATTTTCCTCCTCTTTACTCCCCTCATTCTCTTCAATTAGATCTGAAATGAATAAATAAATAAAAAAACACCAGTTTTCATTAAGTCTTAAAAATCTCATCAAACGCGTAAAGGTGAAAAGACACTGGAAACATTGGCTACACACACTGTAATTTTGATGCACATTAAATGTAAAATAAATCAGATCATATTTTGTTCATTCCATTAACGTGAGCACATTTAAGCAGATTCAAATCATCTTCATCTATTGCTTTTACAATGCAAATTGTGCTGAAGCCACTTAACTTAGAAGTTCTAGTAAATTGAAACTGTGTCCAGTTTTCAAAGTTTCTCATAAAAGTCATTTTGGTCATATTGATCAGACACAGATTTAAAAGCTGTAAGTGTCCTATTTTTATTCATATATATTCAGAATTACAACAAAATGTTTTTCTAAAATGTGTAAAGCAGACAGGAGATACTTGTTCATTCTGTGCCTGACCAGTAAACGCATCAGAAAAAAAAGTTATGAGGTAACAGTTGAACAAACAGCTGAATATTTGTCTCGCAAACATGAGATATACCTGTACACCATAAAGACTGAAATGTGCACCTTTCCCCTTGTGTGCTGTTGGGTCATTTTTATCCATTCTGGGTTTCTTTCTGCGTTTTAGCAAACTGACTGATATTTGGGAACATCTTATTTTGACATAATCTGGGAAAATGCTTTGAAATAAAAAACAAATCTCTCATCCGTTTCTGTAATAGTTAAATTACAGTGAGTTCATGCATCTAGCATATTATTTTATAGCTATATTCTACTGTAACATGCTACGTCAGTTAGCATTAAATTATAAATCGACTTTCTTATAAATATACCTAAGATGGCTGGAAGTACACATATAAACCATTTATGGGCGCAGTCGTGTAAATGATCAGTTGAAGCCTTTTAATATTTATTCAGATCTTATTTTCATCCAAAGGCAATAGCTGGATGCCTTCATCCATATAAGGGATTTCCTGGAATGTTCTGCTACTTTTGTGAGGTATATATGGAATTTCTGCTCAAGTATAAATGAAACAGGCATTACATGCATTTAAAGTGCTACAATGCCCACATCAACCTATTTTGAGGAAAACTGAAAAAAAAAAACTTAAGAAATCATTTTTCTACTTTAGAAATAATTTTTTGTACCATTTTTGAAACAACTGAACATCAATATATAGCAAAGTAATGAATTCAGAAATTCCAGTATCTGAACAACATTACACCTTAGTTAAATTCTGTCCAAAAGAACATGCTTGCAGCTTCGTATCACATCGAATAACAACTCACACTATAAAATAAAATATATTTTCAGATTTGAAGACAATTACATTTTCAAAAAACAAACAGAAACTGCAAATCAGGAGGAGATCGGAGGCTCAAGAGGTTTGATATGGCTCATAACAGACTAGTAAATGAGAAGTGGGTTTATTTATCTTTTTTTTTTCCTTTTAGATGTTACGAGTTACGCTGGATCTAATCTCACTATATTTGCTAAAAGTGATATTTTATTCATCTTGCTCTCTATATCTAATGTAGGGCTGGACAATAATATAATATCAATATATCACAATAGATTATTTTTAAATTATGGTGATATTTTTTTAAACCCATTTCCGATATTTCGATACATTTGTGTATATGTTTTATCATATCTATATCTATCTATCTATATCTATCTATCTATATATCTATATATATAAGATTTTCTACCTTGTATCATTTGTTACTAAATGACTTTCCGTGCTCAGAATGAGCGTGATGTCACTTGCGTGATGACAGCGCTCAGAAGTTGGTTAAGCTGCTCTGTCACAGAAAGCTAGAAAATGAGCGACCTGAATACAGATATAGAGAAACAAGCTTCCACAAGTAAGAATGCAGACAAAGTAGTTGATGTGGACGTTGTTTGGCTTTTTAAGTTCCGATCAGCTTTTTGTTTCGGCGCTCTGCAAACTGTGCGGGAGAGCGATGCCGACTAGCATCGGAAACACATCAAATTGGTTCATAAAAGTTTAAGTCAACCTGTCGCCTCATCATCCACCTTCCCGACACCAAACACAGATGGCTATGAGGCGCAGTGTAGGGTTTTGCATGTCTACACTTGAATATACACATATAAATTTCTCGCATATAAACATATACTATGTTCAAAACAAGTATGACACTTGCACATATATAAACCTACTGCATGCATACACCCACATACACATGCACAGACATATAAACTCAATCTTTACATAAACTTGATCCTTGGACTAAATTAAACACACACACACACACACACACACACACACACACACACACACACACACAAAAAAAAAACTCTGCATGCTGCTATAGCACTCAAGGAAACTTACAAAATAAAATAAAATTCACAAACATATGTATCAGGAATCTGGTTATTTTAAAGCTGATGAAAAAGAAAGAATTTGATTTATAGAAGTATTAAATCTGTTAAATAATGAAAATGTGTTATACAAAATATTAGTTTATATAAATAGACAATATAAAAAAATAGAACTATTTTATGTTAAATCTTTTAACTTAATTAGGAAATTACATACACAAAAATAGTCAGAAAGAACCCTTAAAGGATGTTTAAGATAAAAAGCAACCACAACTTTAAATATACTCAAACAACTCTTTTCCTTTGCAAATATTAATGTAGCCTATACTCTTTTTGATTTGCTTTTTAATTATAATTATTATTCTTTTTCTATTTTTTTTTTTACGATGTGGATTTTGGTATTATTTTGACCAGAAATAATAAACTGCAGAAAACAGTCACGCTACTTGCTCTACAAACAGGTGTGTTCATGACTATACATACAAATAAAAATAATTAAATGAGAAAATATGGCTTTGCAACATCAAGCAGCATTAGGCATGGGCTAGTATAAGATTCTGACAGTATGATAACCTTGAATATATTTTCTTCTGAGACACTTTTAAAATATTTTTGAGCAGTAAACATGTCAGGCTAAATAATTGAAATGAATCACAGATTTCTTTACGATTTAAAACAGCCTCTTTGGTCTTTACTGCAGGAGATAGTGTTGTCCTAAAAAACAAAACATTAAAAAAAACTTACATATACTGTAGGAACGGTGCAGCAGGAAATGTTTTAAAACCTTGACTTTTTTAAACTGCGGTAAACCTTAAAAATAGTTATTGCCCCATGCCTCAGCAGCATAACACTGATATTTAGGATCTAAAAATTAATTCTTTAAAAAAGTCTCAAGCAAAACGATTCCAATGGCGCCGCCTGTTGGTGCATGAAGAATATGGTCTATATTCTGCGACTGTAAAATATTTTCTAAAAATTAATTATTTTTGTGTCCTTTCAGCATGCTCAATATTGGGGGCATCCACATTTTTTGACATACTGTAAACCAGAGTTTCTGCAGGCTTTACAAAGTTAAATATAAGACTTTATGATATTTTTAAGACCATTATGAATGAAATTTTAGACTCATAAAGGGCTAAAGGCTAAAGAACTTTTCAAATGGTCCAGATGGAAAAGATTTTTATTTGCCCCATCAAAATAAAATTTATTTTTAAAACTAAAAAATGAACAAATGTTTTTAAAGTTTTAAAAACTATAACAAACTAAATCTATGCACAACAATCTGTCCAGGTTGATATCCACAGCAGTAAATACATGGAGCACGTTTAAACAAATGTTATTGTGAGGAAAATAATTAAACCATTATGATAAATAAAGTTAAAAAGACCCTTTTGAATAAGAAGTTGAAAGTTTTATTAAGTTGAATTGTTGGTGATTGAATTGGTTTTGGCCAGATTGGGTAGAAAAACATGAACAAAGAAAAATAAAGACACAATACAGCACAATATTTCAGTAAATTTAAGACTTTTTAAGGCCTAAAATGTTAAGTCTTTTATGAGAATACTGTAGGTCAAATATCACCAGCTTAGTTAAACCTTTTATTAATTTATTGTTTTTATTTATTTTATAAAGCACCAAGGACACTTTACAAACAGCAAAAGAACAAGAAAAGCAATAACGTTAAGAAGGTAGAGAAAATGGGAGACTAATAACACATAAAATAATGACAAAAGACCTGGGGACAAGTAACAAGAAAGAAACTCATTCCTGTCTTTCAATGAGTGCTTATGTGCATTTAGGAGAACTAGGCAGCACACTCAGGGCTGCAAGATGGATTTAGTATTATTATTAATAAAATATATCTGAATGAAAATATATCAAATGACTGAGTTGGTGTTTGAGAATGAAAACCAACCTGTTTGTTCCTGCTGATCTTCCTGTTTGACTGTGAATGTTTCTTCAATCTTCACATCTTCACTCTCCTCTTTAATAAATGCCATCTTTATAACAGTGTGGAGATCAGTCGCTTCAGCAGGAGTTTTTCTCCACGTTTTGACACTTTGTCCTGTTTAAAATGAATAAAACAATAAAAATGTCCTGTTTAAAATAAATAAAACAATGAACAGAAACAAAATTACTTCTCTTCAACAGTTTCTTTTTATTATCAAAAATAAATCAGGTAAAACATTTCTATAAAAATAGAGGTTAAATTGGTTTTATATTCACATTCTGACTTTCCCCTTAATAATATAATTTCATTAAAGTATTCTTTGCAAGCTCTAAATAGCGAAATCATATTAGCAGCAAATGACTATCAAAGTACAACATTGTT